GAAAGTGACTTGTCGCATCTGGATGAGGCGTCGATCGAGAATCAGCAAGATCTCATAAAGGTGATATTAAATGTTGTAGGTGAAAATGAAGGAAAAAATATTCGCGTCTGTAACTTAGAATATCGAAGAGGACATCGTCGCATTCCGAGAGGTGTTCGATCAGTTCAACTCATCGGGCACTCGTTTACGACAGCTGACCTCTGATGAAAACATAGCGGTGATCGAAGCCACCACCGCTCGTCTGAACAGACGTTTCGAGGCGGTATGCGAGCAGGCGCAGCGAAGAGCTGAGCGGTTGCTGATTATCAGACAAGAATCGACCGACGTATGTGTTTCTTATTCTTGTGCTTCTTTATTTTTGAACTTTGTCAGGTGTTGGGCGACATGGACGATTTGGCGATTTGGTTCCAGAACATTGAAGCCGAGTTGGATAAACTCGGTTGTGTCACCTGCGACCCTACCGTCAACCAGAAATTACTCGACCAATGCAGTGCTGTGGACAAAGAGGTGCGGCTTCACCGCGGACATGCCAAGGAGCTCGTCGCTTCCGGAAGACGACTGGTTAAACAGCTGATGGGAGACGATAAGCAGTCGGTGCTGGAGAAGATCGAGGTAATTCATGCTTTTGTAACTGAATGGTAGAGGAGAGCTTTTATTTTGCTTCAGACGATTGCTAAGCAGCTTAAATTGTTGTTGTGAGTAACAACGAGGTCACAAATATAGACGATACAAAGATCTTATAGGAACTGACAGCAAACTGGCACAATAAAGTAATGCACAGAATGCGTTGAAAGCAATGCTTCTTTAAAGATTGTCAGTAATTGCTGCATGTGTCGCTGCAGTGTTTCAGTTTATGCTCTTAGGCTTGGATGATGCATTTCTATCTTGCTTCACCAAACATGTTATCGTATTTAGATCAGACGGACGCACTTTTGAACCAGCACTGTGCAGGGCTATCCTGCGGACTGTGAGTGCGTGTTCTACTTCATACGAGTACTATGTAAATGTACTGAATTGAAAATTCAATAAAAGGTCGTTTCACAATCGGTCACTAAGTGTTGATATATGTTTAAACGATCTTCACATGGATTTAAAATCAAATGGTGCGTGACAGCCAAGGAAAAACAACGATGACTACTTCGAAAGTATCAGTGATGGAAATGGATGCGTAATTATCTCGTTGAGTGCATATTGCATCTTCAATTCAACTGCAGGACAGATTCGCTCTGCACTCTGCTTGCGTTTCTGGATCGCCAGTGCGACAGGTTCGTACGCGATGTTCAGTTAATGTCTATTCTTCTTAGTGTGCGCATCATGCAGGCCCGCTAGTACTTTACGAGTATGCAGTACGGCGTATTAGAGGAACGGTCGATTGGATATGGTCAATATTCCATTGTCGTTTTTATGGCTAGTTCGCCTGACGCAATATCATTACGTTATGAACACCTCATTATTAGACTTAAGATTTTAGTGCTTGAATAGCATCGGTGGTGATCATCGTTTTTCAGCATACAAGTAATCTCGTGGAGCCGTGGGCTTTAACCAGTTATGCGCAATGCACCAGAGCGATGCAGTGCGCCCTGAAACTTTGTCTTGAAGGAGATATGCGTAAATAAACACAATGTAGTGTGCGAACATTTTTTGTTTGCGCGGTTAAATAATTAGTACTTCTTCAGTTGGGTCGTTCGTACTGAGGAAACATTGTTTTAGCGAATAAAATGATACTAGATGCTTCACTTACTGCCTGTACTCAAGTGCTACGGAGTCATGGCCTGTTTACATACCTTTAACCCCCTCCCGCTTGCAATGGACACGAGCTAATACGCGGTGCGATCTGGTCTTGAAAAGGTCATGACTGAAGAGGCTGAACATTTTACATTGTATAACATCGCACGTAGAAGACGCACACATATTTACTGTTTTGTTGATCATTAATGAATTAAACAAGACAAATTAAAACTTCGACTAGTAGTAGAGTAACGTACTAATTTCCGCTGCATAGCGTAAAATAAAAAGAGTGTTTCACAAAGTGATATCAAAAACGATTGCTTCTCAACTTAAGGATTTGTACTATGTTATCTAATTCTAGTATGATAGACTGTTAAAGTGTCTGACTCGTGAGATGGTAGTAGACGGAGGTCTCATGAACCGCTCCATCGTTTTCGAGGATATTTACTTTGTTCACGTTCGTGATTTTAGTTGTGAAGTATCACGCAATGAAGAAAACGGAACATTGCTTATATAAGCATTGATGCTATCTTCATAATGGCATGTTGGCGGCTGTCTGTCACTATTATCATGGCTCAGCATACGAGCATGTTTCTTGAGGAATCGGTTATCCAACCCGGATTCAGACCATCGAGTTTCCCGCTCATTTCCTCCTTAGTTCCCAAGACATTCTTTACAAAGGTCAATGAAATATTGCCAACTTTCCTTAGCTCGAATAAACGAATCACACATCGGTTTTTTTGTTAGAGCAGTGCCTTCTTCTCACCAAGTTCGTTTCATTATCTAACATGCCTACATCCTTCCACATGGAATTATGAATGGGTCTTTTTACGTCGATGTATATTAATAACCGCTTATCTTACTGCTTATTTTACGCACTCCAGGTTTCACGCCGAGTCAGTCAGTCCCTGCCGTTTTATGTTCTTTTTGCCTTCTTTATCCATTCTGCTGCGCCGTCCTCATTACTAATGACAGTCTTTAACCCAAGTGGTTGCAAATTCTCACGTATTTGCCTTTCTTGTTCAGTGAGGAGCAATGCCGCACATGCCCTGTCAGTCGAGGTCGAGTCCTGAGTCGGTTCGGTTCGGGTCACGTCAATAACGATTACTTCTGCTTGCTACAGTGATAAATTACTCTGAACAGCAATAGTCTGACTCATAATTTAAGCTCAGTTTATTTTTTGCAATTGCTCTGAAGTCATTTGTAACACCAACTGAGCAAACACTTTTTAATAAGCGTTATGCAGCTTCAAAACGCCTTTAGCGCTGTACAAATCAAAAGTCTTTGCATAAACAAAATTACAGAAAAACCTTAACTCTTCAAAGATTATTTCGCTGTTCTGCTTCAACAGGTCCTTAATCTGTCCTCATTAATGTTGGCAGACTGTCCCGAACGTTGGTGAAAATTCGAACAATCTCTTGTCACCCAACGGTGAAACATTCTTCTGATTTAGGCTCGTTCTGTATAACTGTTTATCCAAAGCTTTTGGACTTGCTTTGCATCAAAAAACAGGCTCAAAGCTGTTTTAGGCATCTGTAACTATTCACTATTCACGTTACAGTTTTAAATCCTACTTTACATCTCATAGCTTGTATTGGCTGAGTATGGTTTCTGCTTGGCTGCATAAGGTTAATATATTTCCAGAACCTGGAGCTGTTCATGCTAGCCATTTGTAAGCTAGCATATTCATTGTATCTTATGTCGACGTATTTCAGGTGCTCAGGGTCTTGTCGAACAGCGTCAGTGAGCTAAGCTGCGAACGATTGAAAACGTGCGAAGAAGCAACGTCCCTATCCGTCTATTTCGAAAACACATGCAAAGAGCTGGACGAGTGGTTCGCTATTATGGACGACGAATTTGACAGCGCTCTTGAGATCCTTCCCACTACTCAGATGGACCAGCTGAACAGGCAGTTGCAGCATAACAAGGTAAACATTCGTGTGTTATATTATTATGTAATGCTCGCGCCTATTCGTCATTAGTACTAACTGAAACGGTATCTTCACTACACGTTTATGTTAATTAATTTTTACTAGTTAACGGGTCTCTTAACTTCTGTCCGCCATTTTGAATTATTTTCAGAACGGTGATTGGAAACCACTGAATTAGCCATACCTCCTCCCCTGATCACGTTCGCCTAATGCTTTCAGCATTTCATTAATTACAGCAGCCTATCCACTTTTCGTTCATTTCACAGCTTGTGTAACTTCATCTGCAGAAATAGTGATATTTGTTCCCTGCTGCTCTACAGGCGAGTCTTCCTCCGATTGCTCAGGATTAAGGAGTTCCTCAGAGTACTCTTTCCACCGCCGAAGAATGTCCTCATCTTCAGTCCAGACCTTTCCTTCAAAACTCTTAGACTGCCCTTTTTTCACCTCGTAGCCGACGGATGGTCTGCAAGAATAACTTGCTTGTCGTCTAGTAATTCGATTCCATTACCTCATTGAACTTCTCCCAGGAATCAACTTTGTCTTTCGTCACTGATTTTGCTGCCTCTTAATGCGTTTCTACATAACGTGCGAATTGAAGGCTGTTTGCTTTCTAGCCATTTCTTCACTGCTACTTTTTTCTCTTTAACTGCCAGTTGTACCTCTCTTGTCGACCAGGAAGTTCTTTTTTGACTTGCACGCGTCTGGCCAACCCGTTTGAATCCGCAGCATTCGGCGGTAACCTCGACGATGCCGCCCTTAAAAAGCTCCCATTCTGTTTCCACTTCAGTGGTCATCACCGGGTTCTTTTCAAGCCATCATGCGATGTTCTTTCCCATATGACTCTCTAATTGCTTCTGCCACTAGATCATCGCATGGTAGTACATTTTTTGCAGCATAGCGTGCCAACAACTATGTGATGGTCGGTTGATAGCTCTGCGCCTGTCTTAGTGTGAATATCTATTACGCAGCGTCTTAGGTCAGACGATACGATTACCTTCGACTTCTGTGTACCAACTTTCCTGTTCCAGGTGGATTGACGCACTCCTCGATGCCGACGAAGGTGTTTATAATGGATTGTCCGTTATTTGAACAGAACCGCAGCATCTTGCCGTTACTGTTGAAGGCTGTTTTTTCCAATCACGCTTTTCAATTTTTCATTATCTACTCTGACATGAGTGTTAAAATCGTCCATGAGAATGAGGGACATGGCATTCGTCACTTCGTTCAAAGCACACTCCACGTTCTCATGGAAGGAGTCATATTCTCGAAATTTGGCTCATGGACCTGTAGCAAGGTCAGAGAGAATCTGTCACATAAATGACATAAATTTTCAGGTTCATATCTTTGTAAAAATTCTGGAATCGCTAACTCGATTTGATATTTGATCTGGATAGTTCCATGTTTAAAGTCTTCAGCTCAGCGGATGGCCCTGAAAGTCGCCACAATGTTACAAGTTGATGCCATGAAAACCTGTTTTCCTTCATTGGGCTCTCAGCTGACTGTTGTTTCAGGATATTCCGCAACGTGCTCAGAAAATAAGCGGTAGTGTTCAGTGTCCTTCCGATCATATGATATCTTCCCGATGAGAATAAGGCGTTTCACATTGATTGTCCGCAGGTTCATTTACAGTTCAGCATGTATTCCCGTTACTTGTTTAAAACAGTGATAACATGTTTAATATAATTTTAATATGCATCACTTGTAATTGTTCTGTGCGGTTGCATTATTCGTTTCAGTGCTTTGTATTTACGTTCATTCCCTAGTCGAATAAGGTTTCGTAAACGTTGCTCTGTGAACTGGTTCCACTGTACTAATGTATGCTGCTAGTGTTAGCACCCCTTTCATTTCCTTGATTAATGCTAATCAGAGCGACGTGATTTCTCTCCTGGTACTCCGTCAATCTCCGTTTCCATCCATCAGCGAGAAACAGTTTTTTCTGGAGATAATGTTTGCACGATATGGCTAGCATATCGCGTGTTTTCTTGCAACACAGTCAACAGGGTTATCTACCTCGGGAAGGTAAATAAATGACTTCTTGGAGGTTCAGGCCATTGCCCGCATGGTAGTCGCTATGATACTGAATCAACTGAACTTCAAAATTTGGTAAATCACGTGACATATACCTTCCTACTTTACACCATCTTTGTTGGCGCCGTTCGTGACGATGTTCTTTCACTGGTCCTATACTGCACCATTGATCTGCGTATCGATTCTTTCAGCACCCTGTTTCTCGGAGACTTGTGTGCAGATTTGTGACAAACACAGCATGCTGTTTGTCGTATAAGATTAAGATTTTGCTGCCTGAACGCCTCACTGATAAATAATATTTTTCAGCATTATGGAAGGAATTAGAGCAGACGAAAGGAAACTAAATCATTTGGAATTGCGTGACATCACAGGACTATGAAAATAAGAAATTTGTTAACGAATTCCACCAACTGGCTATAGAAATGAATGAAACAAGAAAAAACAACTGAGTTCGAATGGATGCAAGCAACTGTCTAAAACGAAAGCAGTTTAGTCTTAGACAAAATGCAATTGGCTCTGGTTTCTTTACACAGCTCATTTTCAATAATTTGCCTCAGAAATATGAAATACTCTTTGCAGCAGTAGATAATTCAAAATTTTTCCACCAATTCAACCAAAAACTGTGACAGTTCATAAAAAATGAACGTGTTTGGATGATGTGACCTAGCTTTATTTACCAATATTCAGCGTTTTCGCCGCCTAAACTACATGCAATCTTAGAGGTGTTGCAAATCATGTTGAAACGTTACGTATAACAAACTTGGCTGGAAAGTACAAAGACAGTGATTCGGTCGTAAAGCAAACAGTTTTAGTAAACTTTTTTGTCCTTTTTATTTTTGATAAAGTATCGATGTTGTGGTTTATATTTTATGCCTGAAAGTATTTATTTTACATCTTTTCTCTTATAGGAACTGCAACGTGATGTGGCGGATGCCCGGGAGGCTATCGATAAGCTGGTGAAGACCGGCGTGAGTTTGTCTGGTCTTTGTGGACCTGAAGACCAGGCTCGTATATCGGACATTCTGGAGCAGGCTAACCTGCGTTTTGACCTGATCAAGGAGAACATCCGTCTGCGCAGTCAGACGATAGATGAGGCGATACAGCAGTCGGCGCAATTTTCTGACAAGCTGGATGGTATGCTGAACTCACTGTCGGTGACCGCCGAGCAGATCCGCAAGGTGGAGCCGATAGCCGCACATCCGGATCGCATCCGAACTCAGATCGAGGACAACTGCGCGCTCATGGAGGAGCTGGAGCACAAGAACGCGGCATACGAGGCGTTGAAGTACGCCGCCAATGATATCATGACCAAGGCGAACGCCGACGATCCGGCCGTGGCTGACATCCATAAGAAGATGGAGCTACTGGAGATGCTGTGGAACGAAATTCTTGCTGGCACCGAGTCACGCGGCATGTCGTTGGCCGAGACGCTGTCGATCGCCGAGTGCTTCTGGGAGGAGCTGCAAAAATGTGTGGCTGCGCTGTCCGACCTGAAGACTAAGATCGAACGGTCAGACCGTCCGACGTGTGAACCGGATTCGATCAAAGACCAGCAAAGCGAGCTGGAGACGGTCGGTACA